GAGTCGGAGTAGGGAAATGTACGGGGGATTTAAATATCCCCTGAGACATTTAAATAAAAATTTCCGCCGCTTTTTGCCGGCTTTTAAAAAAGCCGGAAAATAGCGTCTACACTGGCCCCGATCCTCCGGAAAAAGCGCCCTTTTCCGGAGGATCTTATTCCTACTTCAAAGTATCTATGGTGACAACGAAAAGCTTGTCATGGTCAGGGCCCTTAGTACAGAGTCAGGCATCTGCGCATCCTTAAGCTGGTTAAAAGCTTCCTGGCATGTGCCAGTCCATTGGGCCGCGTTTGGCTGCTTTTTCCTGGTCAGGTCTGTAGTAGGGTGACGATCTCACTGGGGTGCAGTACAAATCGCCTGTAATACCCAGCCAAGTCTAAGAAGGATTGGACCTGTTTCTTTGACTTAGGGACAGGCAAGTTTTGGATAACTTCTACCTTAGTCTGTAGAGGCTTGCTAGTTCCTTGACCCACCTGGTGTCCAAGGTAAGTCACCCTGTTTTCGCCAATTTGATATTTTTGGCCTTAACTGTGAGCCCTGCCTCCCTTATGCATTGGAAGACAACCTGGAGGTGTTGGAGGTGTTCTGCTCATGAATCAGAGAATATGGCCACATCGTCCAGATAGGCCAGTGCAAATTCCCCAAATCCAGCTAGTAGACTATCCACAAGCCTTTGGAAGGTTGCAGGTGCATTGTGCAGCCCGAAAGGGGGAACACTAAACTCATACAGCCCTGCATGTGCAATGAAGACTGACTTTTCCTTGGCTGCATCCTCCAGGGGAACCTGCCAGTATCCGCTGGTTAAGTGTAGGGTGGAGATGAACTAGGCACACCCCCGCTTCTCCAATAGCTCATCTGTGGTGGCTTTGGATAGTTGTCTGGGCGAGTTACAGCATTCAGCTTACAGTAGTCCATGCAAAGCGGATTTCTGTCAGGGCCTGGCACACGTTCCTGGCCATAATGCTCCCTAGAGCCACTGCTTCAGGCCATTGGGTGGCAAAATCCTCCAGAGTCAGTATGAACTGTTTCTCTCTGGAGGTCTTTTTAGGGAAAAGACCCATAATATCCACAGTTGCACTCTGAAATGGGACCTCTATTATGGGGAGAGCTGGAGAGGTGCTTTGACCTGGTCTTGGGGCTTCCCCACCTGCTGGCACTCCTCACAAGTCCGGACATAGCCAGCCCCCCCCTTGCCCATTCCCTCCCAGGAGAATGGCCTCCTCAGCCGATCTTTGATTCTGTTCACCCCAGCATGGCCACTCAGGTGATCGTGGGCTAAGCTCAAGAGCTTTTCCTGGGCCTTCATTGGAACTAAGTAGATGTGGGTGGCAACCTGGGCAGCGGTGGTCATGAGATGATTGAGTTCAGGATCCTGACCAAAGGAAGAAGGGAGAGCAGCAAAATACACACCCTGGACTTCAGAAAGGCAGCTTTGACCCCCTCAAGGAACTGCTGGGCAGGATCCCCTGGGATGCTAACATGAGTGGGAAAGGAGTCCAGGAGAGCTGGCAGTATTTTAAAGAATCTCACTGAAGGCACAGGAACAAACCATCTCGATTAGCAGCAAGAAAAGCAAATATGGCAGGTGTAACCCTTCTGCTGGGTAGGCCTGGCAGCAACCAGGGCCGGGTTCAATATCTAGGGGTCCAGCATACATAGAACCAACTTGAGCCCCCACCCAGTAGCCTAGGAAATTCACACACCTCTTGAGTGCCTCTGAGAGGCAATGCTTCCCCACTTGCAAGCACAGAGCCTGAGTGAAGAAACAAAACTTTTAGGCTATGTCTACACTGGCGGCTTCTTGGGCAAGAACTCTTTTGTGGAAGAGTTCTTGTGCAAAAAATCTTCCACAAAAGCGCGTCCAGACGCCATGTGCTTTTGCGCAAGAGCATCCATGGTAGCATGGATGCTCTCTTGCGCAAGAAAGCTCTGATGGCCATTTTAACCATAGGGGCTTCTTGTGCAAGAAATTCATGTTGCCTGTCTACACTGCCCTCTTGTGGAAGAGCTCTTGCGCAAGAGAGCTTATTCCTCGTAGGGAGAGGAATAACTCTTCCAGAAGAAGCCCTGTTTTACAACGCTATACTGTAAATTTACTTGCGCAAGAACACTCATGGGCTGTGTCTACATTGGCACCCTTTTCCGGAAATGCTTAAAACGGAACAGTTTTTCCGTTATAAGTATTTCCGGAAAAGCGCGTCTACATTGGCAGGATGCTTTCGGAAAAGTTTTCCGTTAAAAGCATTTTTGGAAAAGCGCGTCTAGATTGGCAGGACGCTTTTCCGCAAAAGCACTTTTGGTTTTCTGCAAAAAAGCTCCGATCGCCATTTTCGCGATTGGGGCTTTTTTGCGGAAAATAAATCTCTGCTGTCTACACTGGCCCTTTTGCGCAAAAGTCTTTCAGAAAAAGACTTTTGCCCCAACGGGAGCAGCATAGTTTTTCTGCAAAAGCATTGACAATCTTACATGAGATCGTCAGTGCTTTTGCGGAAATTCAAGTGGCCAGTGTAGACAGCTGGCAAATTTTTCCGCAAAAGCAGATGATTTTGTGGAAAAACTTGCCAGTCTAGACACAGCCTCTGTTCCTGGTCAGTGCCGCCCAGAGTCCAAAAGTTCACCCGCAGGATTTTACCTCCCAACCTGGGTAGAAATGGGGGTGGGGAGATAGATAGGGGGCACCTTACATGGTCTGAGGCTGACGGCCCCACCTCTCCGTAGGGTTCTGCTGCAGTCTTTAACGCGAGCTGCTCCGCCATGCTCCACCAGCTGTCTCGTTCCACTCCACCGGATGCTCCGCTGGTCGCCTGTTGCTGCTCCTACCAGCTGCGCCGCTTCTGCAAAAGAGTTCTTGTGCAGAATCATGCCAGTGTAGATGTAGCCAGGGGGAAAAGGGGCAGGTTGGGCCAGTCCTACAGCTCACACCTGGCAGGTGTGCAGCAAGCTGACTCAAGCCCTTTAACCCTTCCCCCCGGCTCAGCTCACTCAGTTCTGGAAGGGGAGAGGCTTGTTCCTCAGAGACTTCTCACAATGATGGGTCTCTCCTGCAAGCTTTGGTGGCATGTATTACAGTTCCCACATTTAGGGGTAGCATGATTTATGACCCCCACAACAGCCCCAAATTATTTATTCCATTCCACCACTGATCCCCCATCAGCCCTGGCTGAATTGGATTTACACAGCCACACCTCGGATTCCCTCCCCCTCCTGGCATGAGCTGTATTTACATATCAACAGTTAACAGTTAATTATCTTGCAGAGCTAAACAATTGGAGTGGGCACACCCATGCCTAGGACAGCTCTTTTCTTTTAGCTGGCTGATAGCAAGCAGCAGTTCCCCCAACTCCCGGCAAAGAGTTCCACAAGTTAACTGTGAAGAAATCATTTGTTTTAAATCTGCTGTCTATACATTTAATTGGGGGAGAAACTTGTGTGACACAACTGCACCTGGGGCGACCCGGCTTCCTGTGCACTTCCACAGCCTGTATATGCAACCACACTTAAGTTGCAGCCCTCAGCATGTGCTGTATCACTGTGGTCCCTTGGACTTCCAAAGTTGAGTAGCCCTGCTCTAGAGATTAGTCTCAGAGGGTTAGCCATGTTAGTCTATTTCTTCAAAACTAGTTAGGAGTCCTGTGGTTAAAGACTAGCAGATTTATTTGGGCTTAAGTTTTTGTGGGCTGGGAGTTACTTCATTAGATGCAATGATGAAGTGGGTTCCACGCATCTGACCAAGTGGGTCCCAGCCCATGAAAGCTTATGCCCAATTGCATTAGTCAGTCTTTAAGCTGCCACAGGATTCCTCGTTTTTTATAGCGACTACAACAGGTTACTCTCCTGTCTAAAGATTTCTCTCACCCAAAGCTCTTTCCATCAGTTTCAACCATGACTGGCTGAGTCCCCTGTTCATGACTGAGAACATAAGAGCCACCAAAGGTCCACCCACAATATCCTGTCGGCCCACAGTGGCCAGTGCCAGGTGCCCCAGAAAGAGTGAACAGAACAGGGAATCCTCACGTGATCCCGCCCCTGTCATCCATTTCCAGTCTCTGCCAAACAGAGACTAGGGACTGGGGCTGTATCTGCACTACCAGCTTATTTCAAAATAAGTTATTTCGAAATAATAACTCCCAAAATAACTATTTGAAATAAGTTTATTCCTCTTTCCAAGCAGGAGTTATTCTTTCAAAATAATGAGCCCTTATTTTGAAATAACAGGCTTGTTAGTGTGGCTGTTTGCCTTGTTATTTTGAAATAAGGGGTGTAGACAAGGCCACCCTGGCTAATAAGTATTGATGGACCTAACCTCCATGAATTTATCTAGTTCTTTTTTGAACTCTGGATCTGTAATATTGTGGACCAAAGGGTCAGATTGTGTCATGAAAAACTGCTGTAAAGTCAAAAAGGCAACTCTAGTTTTCTTCCCTTGAAATCTATTCACAGGATCTATAGCAATGTCTAAAGATATGGCCAAGAATGACCTTCAGCAGGTCACTTCAGATTATGTAGTGCTAGGAAGAAGGATCAAGGAATTTGAAGTGCAAGGGATGTTCTCGTCCATCCTCCCTGTTGAAGGGAAAGGACTAGGTAGGGATTGTTGAACTGAGGAAGTAAATGTGTGGTTGCGCAGGTGGTGTCGCAGAAAGGGCTTTGGTTTCTTTGACCATGGGACTCTGTCCTGGGCACAAGGATTGTTAGGAAGAGATGGGATCCACCTAACCGAGGGTACGTCTACACTAGCTCGTAAGTTCGAGCTAGGTAGGGTAATTAGAGCAAGCGGAGTTGCAAATGAAGCCCGGGATTTAAATATTCAGGGATTCATTTGCATGTTCCCGGGAGCCGCATTTTTAAATCCCCCTTAGTCCGAACTCCGTGCCCGCAGCTACACGCAGCATGGAGTAGGTAGTTCGAATTAAAGATCCTAATTCGAACTACCGTTACTCAACCAGACAGCGCAGCTGGCAATCAGGGCTCTGGTTATCAGGAAGGCGAAAGTGCAATTGGAATTTGCAGCTGGCAAGGGATGTGAAGGGTAACAAGAAAAGTTTCTAGAGGCATGTTAGCAATAAGAGGGTGATCAGAGAGGGTGTGGGGCCCTTACTGGATGAGGGAGGTAACCTAGTGACAGATGATGTGGGACAAGCTGAAGTACTCATTGCTTTCTTTGCCTCTGTCTTCACAGACAAGGTCAGCTCCTAGATTAATACAGTAGGCAACGCAGCATCGGAAGGAGGTGGGCAGCCCTTGGTGGGGAAAGAACAAGTTAGGAACTATTTAGAAAAGCTAAACATACAGAAATTCATGGGCCTGGATTTAATGCATCCGAGGGTACTGAGGGAGTTGGCCAATGTAATTGCAGAGCCTTTGGCCGTTATCTTTGAAAACTCATGGAGATCGGGAGAGATCCCGGATGACTGGAAAAAAGCAAACGTAGTGCCCATCTTTTAAAAAGGGAAGAAGGACAATCCAGGGAACTACAGACCAGTCAGCTTTACCTCAGTCCCTGGAAAAATCATGGAGGGGATCCTCAAGGAATCCATTTTGAAGCACTTGGAAGAGGGGAACGTGATCAGAAATAGTCAGCATGGATTTATGAAGGGCAACATGTGTGACCTATCTGATTAGCATCTATGATGAGGTAACTGGCTCTGTGGATATGGGAAAGTCAGTGGATGTGATATACCTTGATTTTAGCAAAGCTTTTGATATGGTCTTCCACAATATTCTTGCCAACAAGTTAAGGGAGTATGGATTGGATAAATGGACTGTAAAATGGATAGAAAGCTGACTAGACTGTCGGGCCCAATGGGTTGTGATCAACGGCTCGATGTCAGGTTGGCAGTCGGTTTCCAGCAGAGTGCTCCAAGGATTGATTCTAGGACCGGTTTTGTTCAACATCTTTATTAATGATCTGGATGAGAGGATGGATTGCACCCTCAGCAAGTTTGCAGATGACACTAAGCTAGGGGGAGAGGCAGACAGGCTGGAGGTCAGGGATAGGGTCCCAAGTGACCTAGACAAATTGGAGGATTGGGCCAAAAGAAATCTGATGAGGTTCAACAAGGACAAATGTAGAGTCCTGCACTTGGGATGGAAGAATCCCAAGCATTGTTACAGGCTGGGGACCGACTGGCTAAGTAGCAGTTCTGCAGAAAAGGACCTGGGGATTACAGTGGATGAGAAGCTGGATATGAGTCAACAGTGTGCCCTGGTAGCCAAGAAGGCTAATGGCATATTAGGTTCCATTAGGAGGAGTATTGCCAGCAGATCTATAGAAGTGATTATTCTCGGTTGGGGCCCACATTAGTGAGGATTGGAGGTTTTTGGATAGTTGAGGTTTTTTTGCTTCTCATGTGTGTGGGCCTGACTGATTTTTCTGTGGGACAGTGGCCCCCGACCCAAAAAAGGTTCCCTACCTCTGCCATAAATAAAGACAATGTTGAAATCTTTTGCATTGGACATAATATTTTACATTCTTTAAAAATTAAGCCTGACCAATAATCCTTCAATTAGGGCCCAGTCCCCATCTGGCTGAAGCATCATAATACTCTTGCACACCCCCTAGGCACCCAACCCTGAGCCCCTCATACACCTGAACCCCCTGCCCTGAGCCCCTCATATCCCCACATTCCCAAATTCCTGCACCCCCACATCCCCAGCCCCCTGCCATAAGACTGACAGAAATCAGCCTGAGTACATGCTGGAAGCTGGATTTGACCAGTTATGATGTAAACTTCAAAGAAATGTGTGAAAAGATGCAACAGCAGCAGCAGTCCCATTAAATCAAATCTGTGAGTACTTCAGAGGGGGAGTCGAGTTAGTCTGTAACAGGAAAACCTAAAAAACAACAAACAGTCTAGTAGCACCTTAAAGACTAACAAAACATGGAGATGGGATAAGTGGGTTGCGCCCACGAAAGCTCATGATCTCATCTACATGTTTTGTTTTTCCGTAAGGTGCTACCAGTCATTTGTTTTTTTTGTGACTACAATGTTTCATTTCTGCTATCATTAATCATTATGTCAATTATCAATACTATTAAGTTGTATATTTCCAGTCATGCAAATAGATGTTCTTATACGGCTCTTTGTTGACCACTTGTTCTGAATTTTGATGGAGTTTGGCTCTTTGATTTGAAAGGGTTACCGACCCCCGAGCTAAAAAATCAAGACAGAGAATGAAACAGAAGTACCAGGTCAGCAGCAAAGCTAGGACAAGAGTCACTGTTGCTCACTTGTTTCTGCCAGTGGGTGCTTCTTTCTGCCACTTCCCTCATACACTAGCAGCAGATGGGGGCCTTAAGGGCAGGATACTGACTGAGGTCTCCACTTAGGTTGTATTTCCCTAGTTAATGAGAGCGTGATGCAAGACAGTAACCCTTACAAAGCCTTACTAAAGTCAAGGACTACACATCTACTACTTCCCCCACCTGCAAGGTTTGTTACTCTGTCCAAGAAAACTATGTTTGGCTTGATGCAATTTGTTCTTGACAAATTCATGCAGACAGCTACTTATCACCTTACTGTCTTCTAGATGTTTGCAAATTGATGCAAATGATGAGACAGGCTGAATGGTTGTGTATTCAGGAGGCCTGGAACGGCAGGTCTCTGCTGGAAAATTAACATGTTACATAAAATGTTGCTTTCAAGCCTATCCATGAAATCATTCTGATAGGTGATTTCAATCCAAATGGGGACTGACTGGAGAGGGTGGCTTGACCATTTGCCCTGGAGAAGATGGCTTGACAATTTTCCAGTGAAGCCATTTTCAATGG